AAAAAGAAGGGTTAAACCTTAGCATAGCAAAATATATCACACAACACTTATCAAATAAGAATCACAGTTAACAATATTTAGTCCATTAACATTTAGCAAGATTTAAAGAAAATATTCTATCATCTATCCTTCTTTGTGAGTCTAAAGTCCTATATGTAACTTATCTTTAATCCTAACTAAGGAAAACTATAACCATAACTATCTGTCTTAAACTCCTTCAAAGACAACAGAAGGATAGTATATCAACTCTAGAATGACAGAGACAACTACCCTGATCTATCACCCAACCTTCTTCTGTAATGTTCCATCTTCAGCCTATAGGCCATAGTGTGTCTGGCAGACTCCTCAACAAAGCAGGAAACTTTAAACCGTCTGCCTGTGTTGGCAGTTTGTCAGTCACTTTTCTGTGTCCTGCAGAATGTCTCTTTTATGAAGCAGGAACTGTGTAGCAATGTCCATCTTGAATTAGCAGTCACTTTTCTGTGGGTCTTGCATGTCCAGTTTATACAACACAAAGTCAGACAGTCCAGACAAGAGTAGTATCTTGTCCAAATGGCTAGTCTTGCCATATTGGAAGTAACTTCATAACACATTTCTTTGATGTCCATCTTCCATATTCCTTTCTGGTGCAGGTGGTATTGCCAGGAGCATTTATGTCTCACTGTCATATGAATACTTTGTTAGGGAATGGATTTTCATTTATTGATACAAATTTAAGGTAAATTTTGTGATATGTATATTTTTCTTCTTGTTTAGGTATTGTATTATATAGCTCATTTAGAAATGTAATGTATAATGTACTACAGATTATAGATAATTACCTATGACAGTCAAAGCTTAGAGTTAAGTTAGGATTTCAAGATACACAGACATGTATTTCAGATAAATAGGCACTGTTCAAACCTTTCAAAGACCTACAGAATATGGCATTTAAAATGGTTTAGGGATTTTCTTGACAGTGAGACATAAATGCTCCTGGCAACACCATCTGCGTCAGAAAGGAAGATGGACTTCAAAGAAAGGCATTATGAAGTTTGCTTTCAATATGGCAAGACTAGCCATTTGGGCAAAAACTGTTCTTGTCTGGACTGTTTGACTTCATGATGTATAAACTGGACATGCAGGACCCACAGAAAAGTGACTGCTGATTCAAGAGTTCCTGCTTCATGGAAGAGTCTGCCAGACAGTCTTCAGGACACAGAGAAAAGTGACTGACAAACTGTCAATACAAGAAGACAGTTTAAAGTTTCCTGCTTTGCTGAAGAGTCTGCCAGACACACTGTGGCCTATGGGCTGAAGATGGAACATTACAGAAGAACTTCAGGTGACTGACCAGGCAGTGAGTCGTCTCTGTCATTTCTAGAGTTTATATATTATCCTTCTGTGGTCTTTGATGGAGTTGAAGACAAATGGTTATGGTTATAGTTTTCCTTAGTTAGGATTAAAGATAAGATAAATATAAGACTTTAGACTCACGAAGATAGGATAAGTGATGAAATATGTCTTTAAATCTTACTAAATGTTAATGAACTAAATATTGTTAACTGTGATTCTTACTTGATAACTGTTGTGTTTTTTTTTTTTTTTTTTTTTTTTTTTTTTTTTTGCTATGTAAAGGTTAAAACCCTTTTTATTTAGACAGAAAAGAGGAGGTGATGGGAGATGTCATTCTGTAAATATGTTTCTCATACTGGTTAATGAATAAAGCACTTTTGGCCAATAGGAAAGCAAGATAGGAGGGACTAGGAGACAAGGAGGATTTGAGTAAGTAGTAAGGAGGAGTCAGCATGTAGAGATTGGAGAGAGCAGACATCAGCCCCACTCTCTGGTAAGATGAGACCACGTGGAAATACTTAGATTAATAGAAATGGGTTAATACTTAAGACAGAGCTAGCCGATAAGAAACAAGTAACTGGCCAACAGCATTATATCAAATACAGAGTCTGTGTGTGTTAATTGGGAGTGGTGCTGCGGTGGGACCAGACGGGAAAACTACTTGTAACAATGTACAGCATTTAGTGTTGGCGCTGAGCACAGCCTCTTGCTTTGCCACTGTCACATCTACTCAAGATGTACCCTCTGGCTTTTATCATCCTCATCTCCAGGATTCTCCTTCAGAAAGACCTTCCCTGGCCATGCTGTGTGACAGCCACACAACCTTCTGTGCCTTTGTCTCACAGGCTCATTTCAAGCCTGTCTGTCTGTCTGTGTTCATTTATATGTGAACAAGCACATTTGGAGGGCTATCTTTTCATCAGGAGATGTTCACTCTGGTTTTTGTAAAAAAAGTTTTGAGACCAGGTCCCTTACCAGCTTAGAATTCACCAAATAGCCTAGAGGCTGTCCAGAGAGAACTGGGCTTCCAAGAGCATGCCACCATGTCCAGCTTTTTTTCACCCCATTTGTTTTAATTTTAATATACACATTTTACGCGGTCCTCCTGTTTCTATAGCAAACATTTTACTGCTGGAACTCTCTCCTCAGCAACCTTCATGAACACTATTACATTTTCAGCAGGCAGCTGGACTCAGTAGACAATGAACCATGTTGGTGAATAGAAAGCCAATGATGAGGGACCATGAGCATTGTCCCAGAAAAAGAGTTGGGACTTCATAATGATCTGAACCATGACAATAAATGCCAAGTCAGGGAACTGCTTGTATGTGGGTGGAGGCAGATTTGGGATTTTTAAGAAGCTAAGTGGTGACTGTAAAGGGATAACCGAATGCTATGAGTTTCATTGAATTCTTTTCAAAGAGCTATCTTCTGAAAAGCATGACCTCCCTGTGGAGACACAGATGGCTGTGTGGAAAGCATAGGGTACATGGTACTGGCCACCTTAATTGCTGACATGTGGCCTTATAGTCTAAAGCTCCTTGGAAGCCTTTGGTCGACTCTTTCCAGGGCAACTAGATAAAGATGCAAGGTGGTGGGGGTAGTATGCAAAAGCAAGCTGGGAGCTGTCCTATATGAGAGTCAAGAAAAAAAAAGGAATTTTTGGTGGGGGAATCAGATTTTCAAACCTGGAGTGAGTTCTGGGTGCAGCAATTAGAGGCACTGAATTTGCAGTGAAGACGGGATCCCGTTCATGGAGCAAAATTAGACCATCAGCAAAGAGGAAAAAGAAAAGAAAGTCTAAACATGTCTCCCACTGAGGGGGAAAAATACAAGAAGAAATGGTAACACAAAGGATGGTCCCCAGTCAGTGTCAGCTATGAAATAACCAATTCACTGCTGTGAAAAAATTCTGTCTGGATCTACCAATTTATGGTTGAAACAATTTTAGCTTCTAGAGGAAGAGAGGTGGGAAATGGAATACATTGAACTTGAATGGGGCAAAACTCAGGTGTTTTTGACACCTTTCCATTTTAGTCAGCAGAAATAGGTTCCTCTCATTTAAAATGGAAATTATGCATATTTCATATAGGACTTCAGCTTAAATACTGGAAATATTTGCTGCCTAATAGTAGAAGTTCGTGCTGTGGATTTTCATCCATAGGAGAGATTAAAGGCATCTCCCAGCTAGTGATCATATATATACATGCTATAAAAGTAATTTCTTTTTGGCAGGCATAAATATGTAAGAAATCAATAAATTCAACATGCAACTCAAGGAAATAATGCTGAGAATTAAAGATTTTTATATCTGCAGTAATTTAAAAACCATAAATGTAGCTTGTTTTGTATCAAAAATGACCATTTTGAGGGTTTCTGTGAAGGAAGTGTATTGCCTCTGTTGGCCTGGTGAGGGAAGGAAAGGAAAACCAGGTGAACCTTTGCTTTTACAGTTTTGTCTAGGGCAACTAAGATCTATGTGCCTCAGTTTCCCCTTCTATAACATAATGATGCTTACATGTGAATTATTCTGAAGTTTGACTGTGAGGATTCAGGTGAAGCATTCAGAATTGACTGCCTAGAAACTCGTAACTATGGGGACAGATGGTGTGCTAGAGCAGTGTTTCTCAGCTTGTGGGTCGGGACCACTTTGGTAAACCTCAATCTCCCAAAATATTTATGATTCAAGAAAGTAGAAGAATTAGAGTTATGAAATAGCAATAAATATAATTTTATGGTTGTGGGGGTCATCACAACATGGCAGCCCTGTAGCCTCCCCTATGATTTTTCTCAGGAAGTGACTATGTGGCCTGTGCTTACACAATGAGAAGTATAAGCCATGTCACTTGTGAGCAGTTTTAATTATCAGGATGTTCCTGAGCTCTAACCTGCTTGACCCATGCTCTGAAAGTCATCAACCCAGGAGCCCACATTAGAGTGTGTGCCCTTCTCAGGACAGCTGCCAGGAACTTGAATGTGACTTGATCTTCCCCAGGAGAAGACTTGACAGAACAAGGAGACAAGGCTTTCCAACCTCCTTGATTTCCAACCCGCACTTGGAAGGAGTAAGAGTTTCCATGAAACCTCTAGGAAGACTGCATGACATGCTTTAAAAATGCAAGTGAATGCTAAAAGTATGTATATGTGTGTATTTCTTCAGAAGGCACACCTGTCAAGTAGCAGAGGACATGTCACCATTTCATCAATTTATTTTCTGTCTCCAAATTTTATCAATACTTTATAGTAAGAGCTTTCTTTATGCAGGGAGCAGTAACTGGATGGGGACATGGATTCTTCTGAAAAGTATAATAGTGGCAGCAGTAAGTGACTGTTTTTGTATCCGACATAATTTTATTTCTACATAAGACAAAACTTTGACATGTTTATTGCTACTATATGGAAGGTAGAACATTCACATGTCATTAGTCCAAGCAGAAGAAGGCAACTTGATGGTGATATCATGAATAAGAGGGAAATGGCATGGCTTTGCCCTTGACCCTCAGAACCATAGAGGCCATCTCATTTACAGATTTGTCTTGGTACCTGGACCTAAATAAAGCTTCTCAAAAAGGCACACTGGAAATAAGCATGATTCAGGATGGTATCTAGCATAAGATAACCTAGAACAGTGGTTCTCAGCCTGTGGGTGCGACCCCTTTGGGGTCACATCAGATATCCGGTATATCAGGTATTACATTATGAAGATTCTAGATACTTCATGTGTGGTGCTGCTGACATCTGCTGAAATTCTGCCCCAGCAGTGACCCTCATTTTCTTACTCATTTTCTTTGGAGGGCTCATGTTTCTGAATCAGCCACACTTCATTATTTCTATCAAGTAATTGGAAAGGGCTGCTGTAGCCAGCAGTATAAAAGACCTTTTCATTGAAAACTTTTCCTTCTTCTCTCAAAATATTTGCTAATGTCAAAAGCTGTTCTTGATTCTTTTGGCCACTGGAGAATCCGTTGAAAGCCCTGTGGAGAAGAAAGTGATTGGCTATGGATGTCAATGCTAATCTGAGATGAACAGCAGAGTCTGGGGCCCTGAGAGCTGGGTGAAGTGGCTTCTAGGCAGCCACTAAGTTTCATGTCCAGACTTCAAGTTTACTTAGGAGACCCAGGAAAACTCTCAAGCCCTATTCATTGGCACATTTAAACTCATATCTTCTTGTGTGGGCTAACATATACAAAAGTTACCCTAGAACCTTATTAAAATGTACATTGAGGATGTGTAGGATAGGGCTGGAGTACAACTTCCCAGAAACAAGCTGATGCTGCCACTTATAAAACACTCAAACACTCACTCCTCTTCTTCACTACAAGTCCCTGTTCTCCCTCCCATCCCTTTCTCTCCCATCATTCTTTCTCTTTTATGTACAATGCAGGCTGCCTTGACAATCACTACACATCAGAGAGTCTTGCTATATAGCTCAGGCAACCCTTAGAGGCCCTATGTTGTTATGGGATATTTGTACACTGTGTAAAGCTGTATTTGCTGTGATTGGTATAATAAAAGCTGAACAGCCAATAGCTAGGCAAGAGAGATAGGTGGGACTTCCAGGGAGACAGAAAGGAAGGGAAGAGATGACAGAGGAGCAGGGGAGACTCCAGGAGATATGGAGAGAAAACGGGAGGTACGAGGTGAAAGAAAGGTAAAAAGCCACATGGTAAAGCATAGCTTAAGAGCAGCAGGTCAATTTAAGTTATAAGAGCTAGTGGGACAGGCCTGAGATAGTGAAACATGCCTGAGCTAGTGGGACAAGCCTAAGCTAAGGCTAAGCTTTCACAATTAACAATAAGTCTCTGTGTGGTTATTTGTGAGCTGGCGGCCCAAAGAAAAATCTGATATACTATGTAGCCAGGACTAACCCCAAGCTCATTATCTTCCTAACTCAGCCAACCCAATGCTAGTATTATGGAAGTGTGCCATTAAGCTGGACTTCATTGTGTTGTTTCTTTTGTTCTGTTGTTGCTGCTGCATACTTTGTCATGGAATGTTAGTTGCTCAGGATGGGTCAGAAGGCCCAAAGAAAAATCTGATATACTATGTAGCCAGGACTAACCCCAAGCTCATTATCTTCCTAACTCAGCCAACCCAATGCTAGTATTATGGAAGTGTGCCATTAAGCTGGACTTCATTGTGTTGTTTCTTTTGTTCTGTTGTTGCTGCTGCATACTTTGTCATGGAATGTTAGTTGCTCAGGATGGGTCAGAACGAACTCTCAGTTAAGTACCTGGGACTATAAGAGTGTGTCAACAGACAGAGTCAGACATCAATCAACTGCTTCCCCCTTTTCCTCTTCTGGGCACACAATGGGTTGCAGATGAATACAATGTAATTTGGATGTTTACACATTCAAGTCCAGTGAAAGAGATCAGTGTTTTGCCAGTATTGTCTAAACAGCCTAAGAAAGTATTTTAACAGAGACAGGATCAAAGGGCTCTGAGAATACTAAGGATGGCACTCAGTCCAGGCTAATAGGTGTCTTCTGAATTGGTCTTAGAAGAAAGGATGGTTTTCCTGAACAAAGGAAGGGGGGGGGTATAAGAAATATGGAAATGACAAGAGTACAAAGCACTGTCACAGGCAAGCATAGAATGGGGTCCAAAAGAAGTACTGAAGCCAGAACTTCCCTTATTAACCTATGACCTTTTGGGATTATGCTACATGATGCTGAGCAGAAAGGAACCTGGTAAAATCTAGGTATGAACAACATAGGCTGAGAGACAGGACAGATTAGTGGGATGGAGCCACTACTACAGGGATGGGAAGGGAAAGAATAAAAGTTAGTACAATGGATTTTACTTAGATGGTTAAAAATGAGAAATAAAAAAATATTTTTAATATGCTTCATTGATATAAGTTTCTTTGTAAATGTGCCAATGCAAAAACAAAAACAAAACAAAAAAATAACCAGTCTGGCAGATTCAGATATAACATGATCCTTCTAGAAGATCAAAGACCATGTTTATTTTATTCAACAATAGCTCTCCATCCCTAGAGGCATACAGGCAGAGGGCAATAGTAAGGGCTGGGCCACCACAGACAGTCCCCACTACACAGCCATCCCTAACAGAACTGTGGGAGAGGGCACCACACACCATATTAGAAGAGTGACTGGTATATAATTGTAACCTGGTAGAATCTACAGGGAGGTAACTCTAAGACAGTGGTTCTCAACTTTTCTAACATTTCCACCCTTTAATACAGTACAGTTGTTCATGTTGTAGTGACCCCCAATATAAAATTATTTTGCTGCTACTTCATAACTATAGTTTTGCTACTGTTATGAATTGTAATGCAAACATCCGATATGCAGGATTTCTGATATATGACCCCCCCCAAAAAAAGGATTGCAACCCACAGGATTGGGAACCATTGCTCTAAACCAAGACAACTTTGCGGGGCTCGGGGGCACTGGAAATAATGAGATACATCTATGTGGGCCATCAAGAACCTAATTTCTGTCCAGCAAAGCTTTGGAGGTCTGACCTCCAGTCCAATGGCCCTGGGGGGGGCAGGCCCTTGAGTCAAAAACATTAGTTTTGAGACTTGGGTCTTGATTGAAGCACATTACTATTTTCCCATTTGCAATGAGGCTGTCTCTGCCATGCATGTCACATTGTTGTACTCTGGAAGCCCACAGCTTGTTTGGCTTTATAGGCCCACAGCTGGGGAGAATTTGCTTCAGGATGAATCATTCCTTGAGTCTCAGCCAGATTTTATTTGAATGATATTTAAATGAATCTTTTGAGTCAGTGCCAAAATGAGCTAGGATTCTGGTGTAGGCAACGATTTGTTTACACTGTGTGAAGATGTGTCACTGTGACTGGTTTAATAAAGAGCTGGATGGCAAGTAGCTAGGCAGGAGAGAACATGTGGGACTTCTGGGAGAGAGAGAGAGCATTACATGGGATGAATCTAGGTGTGGGAGAGACGAGGCCAGTGAGACACTGAAGAAGTGGAATGTAGGGTACAGAGGAGAGGTAAGTGAGCCACGTGGTCCAACACCAAGTAATAGAAACACAGGCTCTAACTCTACAGAGAAATCCTGCCTTGAAAAACAAACAAACAAACAAAACAAAAAAACAAAAGAAAAAAAAAGAAGAAAGAAAAAAAAAGAAACACCAAGTTAATTTAAGTTCTAAGAGTAAGTTGGGAAAAGGCTTAAGCTAAGGCCAAGCCTTCATAATTAAATGTTGTTTGTGGCCCAAAGGAAAGTCTGACTATATTCTGGGGCTGAAAGAGTGGGGCTGAATGCATTTTGTATGAGAAAGTCACAAAGCTCACGTGCTTAGGGACACACTGCTGTGGACTGAATGTCTGCATCTCTAAAATTCATATTGGACTCCGGATCACAAATGTGATGGTTTTAAGAGCCTCTGGAGTGATTAGATCATGGGGTGAGCCCTCATGAAAGGGATTATCAGCCTTACAAAGAGGAGCAAATGAGCTCATGTAATGGGGAATGGTCCCTAGCCAGTCACTAAAACCCTCAGTGCCTTCAACTTGAACCCAGCTTTTAGACAGAACTACAAAAATAAAATTTCTGTTTCTTATAAGCCATGGAGTCTATAGTATTTGTTTTGGCAGCCCAAACAGAATAAGATGCCGTCATATACTGTTTTCTTGAAGGTGTTATTGTTCAGGTCTCCCTAGATTATAGGAAGCCCTACGCTCTGGGTGATATAGTTTGTGCTGTGTTTTACATGTGGAAGGTATTTAACAGACTTCTCAATAAGTAGATTATATCTCGCAATAGACATTTTAAAAGCGAGCCGGTAGGAAAACACCATGAATGCATTAGACTACACTTAGAGAAGGGTAAGAAGCCTGCTGAAATTGCATAGGCGCTAAAATGGTGAACACACACAGGTAAACTAGCAGTCGCTAGGGCTGTGAATTATCTACCACTTACCGCACAAACACAGTCATTCCAGCTCTGTCTTCAATGAAGACATCTGAGTCTGAAGGCCTGGGTGGATCGGATTGCAGCTCAGAGGGGACATACAGGGAGATGGTAATGGTAGACTCACTGAAAGGACTTGAGCCAGGCTCCACGTAGCTTGTCACTGGGGCCGTCAGCGTCATTCTCATCTCTGCAACATGAACAATGAAAGTACCCTCAGCGTCTTCATGGCTAGTTTGAATTTTTAAAGCTATTTTTATGTGTCATAGTGTTGTGTGCTGGGGTTAGTGAATCCTATTTTTTAAACATAAAGGAGAAATTAGAGAAAACATGGGGCAATTAATCATTTTTTTCTTTACAAATCAGAAAATAAGGTCCTTTGGTAAGGATTCAGGCATTATGGTGGCCTGCCCCTGTCTCCTGGCAGAAACCACCCAGGCAGTGCCCTGGTTAGCCCAGGGTAGTCTGCACACAGATGCAAAACACCCCTTTAAAAGACCCCCGCCCACTTATGCTCTCTTCCTCTCTTGCTGTTCCCCTTGTGCAGATAGGACTTTCCCTCTCTCCCTCTTCTCTTCTTTCATTTTCTCTGTCTCTGTGTCTCTTTACCTCTCCCCCCCCCCAATAAAACTTCTCACTTAAGCTCTGTCTGCCTGACATGTTTGTCCCCCCACCTCGGTCACTCTCTCCTGCCATGGAATCCGCCAAGGTTCCCCATTCGCTTTTTCATAACACTCTAGACTAAGAAACCTGCAAAAGTATACACACACGCGCGCGCACACACACACACACACACACACACACACACAGAGAGAGAGAGAGAGAGAGAGAGAGAGAGAGAGAGAGAGAGAGAATGTGGCTTGTGCTCTTACACATCTTCCTGTTATCACAAATTATTAGACATTTACCACGGGTAAGGCCTTCTCCCTAGTTATGAATAGAAGTGAAAGGTAGATCCAGCAGCACCTTCTTCTAACTACACTAAGCTTCCTGGGGCCAACTGTGTGTAGAAACATTAGGATTGCAATGGTCTGGTTATTCATCTATTACAAACAAGATTCCTACAGTAAGTTTAAACTCAATGACCTCAGAATTTCAGTGGCTACTTTTACCTTTCTCATTTTTGCCTTGAATGTAGTCATTCAGTTTTGTAAAGCCAGTCTGGATGGCTGAATCCCAGTCCATAGATTCCACACAAGTGCTGACCCACTTGGCTGGTCCGTAGTGTCGGATCTCATAACTTCCGGGCTAAAATGGAACCGAGAGAACTTCCAGAAGCAACTCCTGGACATCAGGAGGTGAATGTCAGCAATACTGGTAACCTTGATCCCTAGTCTACCAAGAGACCATTGGCCAAAGGAATGCTGGGGTCCCAAGATCTAGCCCATGGTCCCAGTCTTTAAGACAGGAAAGGCCTCTCCGGAGATCTTCCTATAGGATACTGATACTGCCCTAAGGCCATGTTAAATGAAACAAGCATCACTTTTATGGAAGTACTGGGTCTGCATTGCAACCAGTTCCTCCCTATTTACCCCACCCCAAACAGGAAGTGGAGGCATGGCTCTCACCTGGGTGGGGGTGGGGGATGGGCGGTTAGGTAAACAACGCATCTCATGCCTGGATCTAAAAATAGTACTTTTCATGTAACTTTATGGTACTCTTTGATCTCATTGTAAAGCAGCCCAAATGCAACCTCGCAGGCCCTGGAAGACACCTACCTGGGGATCTGTGTCCTCCGGAGCCTTCCAGCCCGGCATCTCAACGGCCGGCTCCGCTGCACCCTCGGCAGCCCTGAGGTCTGGCTCTGGCTCCTCGGCCATGGGCAGGGACAGATCACGAGGGGCGCGCGCCTGGGTTGCCCTGTCTGTGTGCACTAGTCACCTTGTCCTGAGTCCCCGTCCCGCGGGCTCACCCTGACTGCGGGTCCGTAGGACACTGCAGGGTTTGAGCCACGAGAGGGCCCCTCCCGTGCGCCAGTCCTGGCCGCACCCCTCCGCTGGGATAGGGAAGTGGGCCAGGATCCGCCAGCTGGCCTGTCATCATCCGGCTCCTCTGCGGAGTCTCGGCTGCCCAGGTTTTGCAGAGCTCGGCAGTGAGTAGCAGTGGGCGGAGGCCTGAGCCACTGCTTACTCGGTTTCTGTGGAACCGGTCCGGGAGCCCCTCCCTAGGCGGCAGACACTGCCAGCTCCTCTGCAAAACCAGCCTCCTCCCGGCCACAACAGGGAACGACCTGCCCCTCAGATGCAGGCAGTCGGAACTCAAGAGACTAGCAGAAGCCAGCAGAACTAAGGACTCTGACCTCTGTGGTGGGATAGATCTGTAAGGCAGCCAGGATCCCCAAACAGGTTCCAGGGCTGCTCAATATAGAAAGTCAGCAGAGGCGCAGTCTTTGCGAGGAGTCTTGGGCTATCTGCTTCCTTGACCTTTTCCATAAATGATTTGAAGTCCTGAGACATCTCATTAGCACTTGGGGACAGCCGAGAGCACATGACAGTGACTTTTTTTTTTTAAGCTATTTTGCTTAGGTGTTTTACTTTTTCCAAAAGTTTTATTGAAATAAATTCATATATAATTCATCTATTTTTTATTTGAAAAATTTAAACCTATATACAGTATGTCTTGATCATAGCCTCTCCCCCGTCTCTCCTCTTTAACTCCCTCAAAGAGGACCTCCATCACATCTCCCTCCCAACTTCAAATCGTTTTATTATATGTTTAGCTTACCAAATTCAGTTGGTACTATTTATGTACACTCCAGTGAAAGTCACCCACTGCTGCACTGGGAACCTAACCAATGCCTGCACTCCTAAAGAGAAACGACTATCCATGGCCCAGCAGCCAGTAATGACGAAGCTCTTGTGGGTAAGAACTCCAGAGGTCCTCCTTCCTCCTGAATTACATGTGTGTATTAATTTACCCCTACTAGTTAATGAGCCAGACGCGGTGCAATCCGTGCAGACCCCTGCAATCCCAGCACTGTGGTTTGGAAGCAGGAAACTCAGAAACACTAAGTGACCCTTGACTGCACACTAGTTTGAAGCCACTACCCTCTCTACCTTTGGCCTTGTGAGAATGCCTCAAAACCAGAAAATCAGTAACAATAATAAAATGTACTGCTTAATGTTTTTAAGTATATTTATGGAGTTATGAAACCATTACAATGCTAGGACTTTTTTTTTTTTTAATCAACCCCCCCCCCCACCTCAGCCTTTAGCCTTTACTCAGCCCTTGTGCTAGTTAGTTTTGTCAATCTGGTATAAACTAGGGTCATATGGGAAGAGGGAGGAAATGTCAACTGTGGAAATGTCAAATTGGCTTTAGGCAAGTCTGTGGGGCATTTTATGTGATTAATGATTAGTGTGGGAGGGCCACCCCTGGGCAAATAGTTCTGGGAAGTATAAAAGAGGTAACTGGGGTTGGGAGTGGTGGCATGCGGGCGTTAGTGCCCACACTCCATTGGAGAGACACAGGCAGACCTTTGCGTTTGAGGCCCGCCTGGTCTACAAAGCGAGCTCCAGAACAGCCAGGACTATGTAGAAAGACCCTGTCTCAAAAAAACCAAAATAGAGAAGAAAGCTGGCTGAAGGTGAGCCTGGGACCGTGCAGTGTTCTTCCATGGTCTCTGCTTCAGGTCCTGCCTCCAGGTTGCCCACTTTCCTCAATGACCAACTGTGGTATGGAAATGTAAGCCAAATAAACTCTTCCTTCCCAAGCGTTTCATCAGAGCAACAGAAGGCAAGCTAGGACACTGACTCCTAACTTCTGGAGCCATCCTCTAAGTGCTCGCTTGCACTTACCTTTGGATGGTTTGGTTGGAAACTCAAAATTCTAAACACAAACCTGAAGGGAGGGCCTATCCACCCTGTACCTCCCATCCTGGTAGGCGACTCTGTGTTTAGGTCATTTCTGGAAAATGTCAAGGAACTAGGATGGTGTAAAAGTCTCCCAAAGTCACCATGTCCACACCTCCCTCCCAGACACTTCATATGAGTAGAACCATGGTAGTGACTAATTTCCTCTATTTAAAATATTGTCAGGGTTCAGGCATGCTGTAGCATCCCTTTTTTTTATGTTCAAATAATACATTTTTAAGCACTTCATTTATAAATGGGTAGTTATTTGGGTTGTGTCAACTTTGGGCTATTATGAATAATGCTGCCACCAGCATTTGTGCAGGGAAGGTCACAGAGAGGGGAGGGGAAGGGATTGTATACAGGTTTCTGTGTAGACATAAGTTTTTCATTTCTCCTGCGTGGAATTTCTGGGTCAAGTCGTGAGTCGAGCTGTTCTTTAACCATTTGACATCTTACCAGCTCTCTATGTCCCTACATCCTCAGCAGTTACCTGGCTTTGAAAATTATAAGTATTTGGGGAGTATACAATTGGCCTTGTAGATGTGATTTCTATTATACAAAATGTGGTATTTCACAGTGTTCAATTCAGTGGCATTTAGCACATTCACTAAGTTGGAAACCCAGCTGCACTATCTAATCCCAGAATAGTCTACCATTGCCAAAAGCAAACCAGTGAAGCGAGCAGTCCCTCTCCCTTCTGACCATACCCTCATCCCAACCTGACACCCAAATGATCTTTTCTTTCCAAATCACAATTAGGTAGTGTTTTATCACAGCAACAGATGTTATATCTATATATTTGCCTCCTCTGAGCATTTTGTATCAATAGATCACACATGTGACCCCCTTAACTGACTTCTCTCCCTTACTGAGACCAGTGTTTCAAGCTCTACCCAGGCTACATCATGGATCGGTCCTTTGTTCTTGCTAGAAAATGGCCCATTGTTTGGGCTGTAGTTTAAGCTGCTTTCTTTCTTTGCCCTTCCCTGCTCGAACTATGTAAAGTCCTCAGGCCACACAGCGCTATCTAGGTGTTACATCAAATCTATTATGATTCAGAGCTAAGCTTGAATTATTTAGTAAAAACTTCAATAATGAATTTTGACATATTTTTTAAATGTCAGTGTTATCTCTGCAGTAAGATGTGGGCTATTGTTAAGATGGCTTCAAAAACTGAAAAAATATTTTATTACAGAATTATTTTTTAAAAAGAACAAGGAAGTAATGTATGGTGTTAAGTTTTGGGGGTTTTTTGGTTTTTTTTTTTTTTTTTCCTTTTAATCTGAAGAATATCTTTTGTTGGGGGGAGATCATTTGATTTGCAGAAAAACAAACCAATTGTGGAAGCATTCCTATTACACTTGCAGAATATACAATTCATAGAGATGCCAGCAGGTGACCAGGCTACTTTTCTATTTTTGAAAATGGTGATTAGTTATATACAAGAGCAGAAGAAAGGAAAGGTTTATTCCCAATTAGTGGGATTGTATTTTAGAATAAGTTGAATAAAATCTAGAACAAAATAAAATCTATAGCCATATTACAAAATCATTAAGTTCCTTATTGATGAATTATGGTTACATTGTTCTAGTATCTTAAACTTAACCAAACTTGTGTGACACCACAATATATTTATTTACTTATGGTTATGAGGAATACAAGTTCAGTGGGGTCCCTTTAAGGCGAGGAGTCTGCACTGTTAATCCCGGCTGGGGAAGGGAGTACCAGGCACTGTAGCTGGGTCTTCATGTTTATAGTAGTCACCGTGCTTGTGTGCATACTGAGATCAGTGAATCCTGAACCTTTACCACAGGACAATGCAGAGTAGGTTCCTGGGAGCTTTTGGCTACAAAATTTTTGTCAACCAATCGGTACCCGACTTCTTTTTTAAAGATGCCCAAGTTCAATTCCCAGCACCCACATGGCAGCTCATAACTGTCTGTAACCCAGTTCTAAGTGATTTGATGCCTCCACACAGACAACTGTGCAGGCAAAATACTAGTTCACATAAAATAAAAATAAAAACACATTAAAACTAAGAACATTTTTTATGACACTGGAGTGATGTGATTTTTTTTTTTTTTTTAGAAATTATAATTTGATGAGAATTTACCCTGAATGGGGCTGTGGTAAGTATTGAAGCATTTTATCAATCAATATTTTTTTTCCTGGCCTTCACATGTCTTAATGTGAAGTCATCTTTTACTGTGGGATTGTGCTTTTGCCCCCACACCATAATTACATAATTAAATCACATAATTAAAACTCCTTCTACCATCTCAAATGTGGTAACAATAAGATGGGTAGTTCCTTGGTATACTAGCGATAAACCTAATTTTCCCTCTTGGTTGGCATCTTTAATTTTGATGAGAATTACAGTACTCTTCCATTATTTAGACTCCACATACCCTATGATACTCATCTTTCACTGAGCACCTGCTCAGCAGAAGATAGATAATTGTTTGATAAATGTTGAATGAATGCCAAGCAGAAAACTTATTAGATACTAAATAGTCATTGAATGTTTTCAGGGGCACCTGTGAACAAGCCACCTTTTTATGTACCACAGGCAATGGAAAGAAATGTGTTGAACTGTGTGGAGTGAAGAGTAAGAAAACTAAAATCTAAACATGCAAATGCATTTACAATGAAAAACATTGATTTTAGTCAGAGTCAGACTTATATGTTTTCTGGGACTTCCAGGCCAGCCATTTTTGTTTTAAAGGGTTCAGGCTTGGGGGACTGGAGGGACAGTGGTAATGTAGGGCTACTCCAGCATGAGGACTGGAGTATGATCCCCAGCATCCATATAAAAGTGATGTGCATCTATAATCCCATCACTTTGGGACAAGACAAGCAGATCCTCAGGGCTAGCCAGTCTAGCTAAAACAGATCAAAACACTGGGAGACTTTGCCTCAAAATATAATATGGAGAGTAACACAGGAGGATGCTGGCCTTTGATCTCCACAGGCACGTGTGTACTCATGGGTACACACACATGCCCATACACACAACACACAAGTTTGAAAAAGGGTTCATGCTTCCAAGTAAAATTAGACTACTAAATCTTTCACAACTAGATAGTGTATGTTTTCCAAAGCATTTAGAAGAAATCTATCCCTTGGACATCTGGTGGTGGGGGCATGGTTCTAATAATAGCTT